GGCTTACACCTGCTCCTTTCTTCCTAGGTTCTTTATCAAATCACTTCCTTCTAAAATCTATTTTTCCTTCTTGAAATCTTCCTAAGCCCTCAGCTTTACTTCTTCATAAACGTGTTTTCTTTTCACTCTTTAAATCTTTTATGTAATCTCTCAACCTTGAGTTTTAAATGTTTAGCAAGGAGCATATTTATGAGGTTCGGTATCTCGTGCATTCAACGTCTAAATTATGTTGCTTGCTTACTCAGAATTTTCTTTGGTTTTGTTCTAGAGTTTTGTTTTTTTGTTTTCTCATTTAATTTTTATGTGCAGTCCTATGTAGTGGCTGCATGCGTGTAATGCCAGAACATGAGGGCCTGAGGTAGGGATGCAAGTTTCAAGCCAACTTGGGCTACGTAGTGTTTGAAATGTGCACACAAGGTAAAAGTTCACCATTCCAATTATAGTGACCCTGCAAAAGTTTATAACTTCAGATCAGGCTGGGCTTGGTGGCACACGCCTTTAATCCCAGCACTCCAGAGGCAGAAGCAGAGGCAGGGGCAGGGGCAGGGGCAGGGGCAGGGGCAGGGGCAGATTTCTGAGTTTGAGGCCTGTGGTGTCTATAGAACACAGAGTGAGTCTAGGACAGCCAGAGTTACACAGAGAAACCCTGTGTTGTAAAATGGGGGGGTGGCGGGGTGGGGGCTTGGCTTTTCCTCCTTAGCTGAGGTTTGCTCTCACATCTACTCCTGACCAACTAGAAAGTGGCCAGAAAAAGAACAAAGGCAGAGTGCAGAGTAAGCAGTGTTTAAACCGAGTACACCTGGCTAAAGGATCTGGAGAGGAGACAAAGAAGACACGTGGTTATTACGCCTGTTTGGAAGAAAAGACACATTTTTCCCAATGGAGAGTTTAAGTTCAGTCTAGGCAAACGGGAATCCTTCTCGGACCTGCAAAAATAAATACATAAAATATATGAAAGAGTTTGGAAGCAATTTAAACCTTGAATCATAATATCTTTGATGATATTTACATTTTACCTGTGAAATGATTATTTCAGTATCTATATGTATCACAGTACTGGAATCTATCTATCTATATCTATATATATGTCAATGTACAATTTTCATTGCATTTTCTGGGGTTTACAATAACTAGCACAAAATAGGACTATTGTTTCAAGGGTTTTCAAATCCTTTGCTGACTGAACTACCAATTTCAAAAAAGTAAATTGTTTAGATTCTACTAAAAGAAAACCCCACAGTTTTCAATATATTACTATCCATATTCTTTTTAAATTACAAAATTCTTGACAGTACTCATGGCTTCATGAAAACTATACTATATCCAATATACAGAATACATTAACATTTCTTAAATGTTACTCTTTTATGTTAACTAGTTGATTTTTGCTATTTTCTTTCTTTTTAAAAAGCAATTTATTTTCATTTTATATGTATTGGTGTTTTGTCTACATGTATGTCTATGTGAGGGTGTAGGTTTGAGTTACAGACAGTTGTGAACTGGCATGTAGATTCTGGGAATTGAACCCTGGTCCTCTGGAAGAGTTGTCAACCATCTCTCCAGCCCCTAACTTTTACTATTCTCTTGATGTAAACTGTGTTAATATTTTCCACAGTTGGCATAGCTAAAATTAAGTCTAATTTCACACTTTTGTTTGAAATGTGTGGATAGATTGCTGTCTCCAGTAAACATCAATATTTAACTCACTGTTCAGGAGACATAATTATGCCTTCAGAAATATGTGGCACTTCGTATCCTAGAGCAGCCATGTGAGATTAAGTCATCTATTTATAACTATTATGTTTAAATGTTTTAAGAATATACCATTTAAAGGCGTGCTGTAGTTACTATCTAACCAAATGCTTGACAGGAAGTGACTAAAGGGGAAAGGATTTGTTTCAGCTCAGGGTTTGAGAAGATACAGTACACCAAAGAAACAAGAGACAGGAGACTTCAAACTGGTTCATGTAAAAACAGTTTAGAATGGCACTTCCCTTACACTGATTTTTATATGTATGTATTTACTTGTTTCCTGCAACTAAGCTATTCAGGCTGGCCTTGAACTCACTTTGTACCTCAGGCAGTCTCAAAAGAAAACAAAAAAAAAAAAAAACACACACACACACACACACACACACACACACACACACACACACACACACACAGGTTAGGAGCATATAGCTCAGGGGGCTCACGGGTAGAGGACTTTCCCAGTGTGCATGAGTCCCTGGTTCATCCCCCGCATTGCAAAAAGAAAATTGCTGGTGTTCATTTTATTCATATCATGAGAGACTTTAAGGATTGACTGTGTTATTCTTTCTGATCAAAATAAAACAGGAATAAAGATAGAAAAGAAAATCCAGAAAAGGAAGAGACTTCATAAGTGATTTGGGCCTTACTCTGTATTTAGAACCTCACAGAGATTAAGGAGTGTGCCAAGGGGCATAAATGAGATAGAATAAATTCAAAGAACATTGATTAGAACAAATCTAAGAATATGGTGGCTTTAGTGCACCAAGCAAGGTAAATTGTTGCCTTCATGTGGTTTATGGCTATAAAACAATCTTTCATTTCTTTTGTGTGGGGGAATTCATAGGTTGACTTGAGAGGACAGCTTTGGGGAGCTGGTTCACTTCTACCTAGTGAGCTCCAGGGGTTGAACTTAGGTTATCTAGCTTAGCAAAATGCACCTTTATCCATTGAGCTGTCTCACCAGCCCCGAAAATAACAAAGTTGCAAGCAATAATGCTCTCTGTATATAGTCCCTACCCTATGCCAAATAATCAAGCTAGTATTAGGAAACAAAGATCAGTGAGTAACAATGCATCAAATACAATGCAGTTTGCTGTGCACTAGATCTTGTCCTACCCAATTTTCATAGGTTATTTAACTTAATCATTAAAATAATCATTTCAGTGGGTGAGGGAAATAGTTCCATGGTTAAGAGCATTGACACCTCTACCAAAAGGCCTGGGTTTCATTCCCAGCATCCATATGTCGATTCACAACTGACTGTAACTTGAGTCCTGGGGGATCTGATGTCATCTCTGGCCTCCATGGACACCAGACACACGTGTAATACACAGACATTGAAATGGTTTAAATAAGAATGGATCGCACAGGCTCATATATTTGAATGTTTAGTTACCAGGGAGTGGAACTGTTTGAAAGGATTACAAGTATTAGGAGGTGTGGCCTTGGAGGAAGTATGTCACTGGGGATGGGCTTTGAGGTTTTCAAAAGCCATGCCAGGCCCAGTCTCTTTTTCTTGGCCTGTAGATCAGGATGTAGCTCTCAGCTACTGGTCCAGTGTCATTCATGCTGCCATGTTCCCCCACCAGGGTAATAATGAAGTAAACCTCTGAAATGGTAAGTTCCCAATTAAATGCTTTCTTTTATAAGTGTTGGTAATGGTGTCTCTTCATAGCAGCAGAACAATGACTAAGAGAGACATACATGCAAACAAAACACCCATATATATAAATAAGTAAATAAATAATGAAAAATATTGTATTTGCCATTAACACCATTGTTCCTAATAAATTGAGATTTTAAATAATGCACACATAAGTCAAATAATTAAAAATTGTGGTGGCCTAATGAGATAGATCAGTAGGTAAAGGTTGACTGAGTTTGAGCCCCAGAACCCACATGCAAAAGGAAAGAACATATTCGCTCAAATTTTATTGTTACACACACACACACACACACACACACACACACACACACACACACACACACGTTCATTCACATGGTGCACACATATAATTTCAAAAGCATTTTAAAGCATTTTTAATTTTTTTATTTAATTAAAAAATTTTTTTATTAGTCCAAATTAGGAACAAGCTTGTTTCACATGTCAATCCCTTCTCCCTCCCTCTCCCCTTCCCCCAACCCTCCTCCAACTCCCCACCTGCCCCCATACCATCCACCCTCCACTCCCCAGGCAGGGTAGGGCCCTTGACGGTTGCCCCCCAAAGTCCACCACATGATCCTGGACCTTCCCCCATGTGTTTAGGCCAAGAGTGCATCCCTTCACGTGGGATGGGCTGTTAAAGTCCATTCTTACACCAGGGAAATATACTAATCCACTACCAGGGCTCCCCTAGTGTGGAGGCCTCCTCATTGACATCCATGTTCAGGGGTCTGGATGAGTCCTGTGCTGGCCTCCCAGACAGCAATCTGGGGTCCATATGCTCCCCCTTGTTTTAAAGCATTTTAAAAAAATTTTTGATATAGGGTTTCTCTGTATTGCTTTGGAGCCTGTCCTGGAAGTTGCTCTGTAGACCAGGCTGTCCTGGAACTCACAGAGATCCTCCTGCCTCTGCCTCTGGAGTGCTGGGATTAAAGGCGTGTATCACCAACGCCCAGCTTTAAAGCATTTTTTAAAGGTTGAATTTGAATAAAAGTCACTAAATTCAGAACCGATGTATTTAATGACAATACTATGTCCCAGCATAGTCTTGAACTCAGTCTTTTAAGGGGAGGTAGCTTTGTTGAATAATTACATAAAAAATACACCCAAATAACTCTGACAACTATTAACACTGCTGCCAGCCAGTGATAGATTCCAATAGACTCACGAGACTCAGAATAGGAGATCAT